ATAAACCAAAGCTGCAAGAAGTGTTGAACAAAAAAAATCAGTTTGGAGGAAAATGAAAATAGTATCTAGACATTCATTGAAAGTGTAATGTGTGGCAAATCAATTGCTAACCTTCCTTGATGGTGCAACATGTAGCAAATCAATTGTTAACAGTTGAGATGTCAATTAAGGGATTTTTGTATCGATGCTCGATCGGCACTTGTTAAAACACCCAAATCAAACATAATTTACTCTTTGAATGCACATTTTAATAATTATTATCATGCCTTGCATTTAGTGGCAGAAGCAGTGACTTCAAAGAGATGCTTTCACTTTGGCAAAGGCCTTGATGATTTCAGATTTTATACTTGAAGGTGATGCATCTAGGATTTGTCCAATTTATCGATAGTAAAGATGACGATCTCTCTGCCATCGGCCTAATCATTGAAAATTTGTGGGAAGCTTTGCATGATCCTTGTTTGATTAATGTAAATTGGGTTCCTAGTGTCACAGGCTATTTAAATTCTTATAAGTCAACATGCCGTGCACCATTAGCGATTGTTCGAGACTTAAACTATAAATGGTTTGCTAGTTCAGCCTAAACACTAAGTGCGCAGAATTGTGTGGAAGCTAAAGTAGTGAGCAAAGAAGGAAAAGTTGGAGACTAAAGAAATCTTGTATTGTACTTATGAACCCTTGTATAAAATTGGTTACACATGAGGGGGATTGGCCTATTTATAGGCAAGTTAAGAAGTTATACAAGTCTCTAAAGAATTTTACACTAAGCCCTCTCTTTGGAACTTTCTATACAAGACAAATCTTATGTACAAAACTCTAAACTATTCCATAAGACTCGAGAACAATTTAGAACATTTTGGAGGCCTCTCGGGTTTACTACATACTTCTACCAACATTTGGCGTAGCTTCCGCTTTAGACAAGCCTCCAAGCTTTGGTGCTTTTTTGGGTGAATGGAGTGCGGGTCTATTAACTGTCATGATTTTTCTGTTAGAACATTACGTATAGTAGCGCATGACGTGGACGGGCACAATTGCGCGTAGACACAGCCCGATCCATGTCACTAGGAAAGCCAACAAAGTAGCTCATAAATTAGCGTATTTTGTTAAAATATCTCACTCTGTTGAATCTAGTGAAACTCTCCTCCTACCTTTGTTGAGCAATTTGTGTTGGACGATTTCTAGTAAATTTAATGATAAAATCTTCAAAAAAAAAACTTTTATTTAATTTTATATCTTTCAAATATTAACGCTCGAACTATATCTTCGCAAGTGGGCACTTGTTAGATAGACCTGTAAATTGTTGTCAATTTTGGCATTCATCTACTGATCACCAATTTCCATTTCCTAGTAAGTTCGCAGTTGAAGAGTTGATTTCAAAATAAATGAAACAAAAAAAATCATTATTTGATTTAGGTTCCTAAACACACCCTAGTAAAGTACAAAATTAAATATAACTATGAAGATTGGATGACAACTTACAGACTGAGTGAATTCCTACATGCTTGTGATCAAAGAGCCCCATATGGCCATATCCCATTTTGTTTTGGTCTGTATTTCACATAACCTTTGCTTGCGCCATCAAGCAAAGCCCCATATGCAATGCAAGTGATTCAAAAGCTATTACAAGGTCATCAAGAAATGATGTACCTTGGGATGCTTTTTATTAAATTGATGTTTACGTCTAGGGATGGCAACGGGGTGGGCAGGTGGGGGACCCTTACCCCGCCCCCATCCCGCTGCCTATTAATTTCCCCTACCCTGTCCCCTGCCTGCCCCGCTCCCCTGCTTCCCCCGCTTCACCTCGCTTCCCTGGCAGGGGCTAGTAAAAATTTGTTATATGATTTTATTATAGTTAAAATTTAGCAAATTATCAAGTACTAAAATATCAATACATCATTAAGTTATTATTCATTATAATTTCACAATTGAAACTCCTAAAAAATAATCAAACAAAAGTTATTTGAATACAATTCAATACGATGAAATAAATACAACTAAAATAGTCAAGTTTTTACTTTTGGCACAAATACAATCACTAATTCATTATTGTGCTTGTGTTTTTTTTTTTTTGGAGAAAAAAATGTATTACTGTATTAAGTGTAATTAGGAATTTAGTATAAATGTATTAGTAAATTTAGTATAACTAATTAATAAATTTTATTAGTAGACATATATAATTATTAGTATAATCGATAATATCAATTATATTATATATACTAATATACATTATATAATACAGATAACTAATAATATCATTATCATAAGTTTGTAACTAATTAAATTAAATATTATATATAATTATATACATATATATTTATATATTTATTTTTTTAGTGGGTGGCGAGGTGGGGGTATACTCCCCCGCCCCCCACCCCATTTCTAAACAGGGGAAAAAAATCCCCCGCCGCACCCCAACCCCTACTCTATTAATCCCCCCGTGAGGCGGGTGGCTGCGCATTGTCATCCCTCTTTACGTCACTGGTTAAGAACTAAAAAAGGCAATGGCATGACTACTACAATAATACTAACGAAACAAACTTTGTGCTCTAAATTGTAGGTGTCAATCACAATTAAATTATGTTTCATCCACCCAAACCTTTCCACTAATAACTTGTTCAAATTCACCCATTAACTTTAAATGGGTCTAAATGGGTATTCAATTAAATCCATTTAATTAGTGGATAGTGGGTTGATTCGACTCACTCATTTATATCAATTTAAAAATAATTATACATTTTAACTTAATTTTTAGTGTGTGTTAAGGAGATAAAATTGAATTTTCTACCAATCTAATAACAGTAAAATGTTGTTATTTCTTGTCAAACAACATATGAATTTTTTTTAAATTAGAATTTCAAATGAGTCATAAATGGGTATAATTAGATGTACCATTAAATGATATAAATGAGTATCCATTTACACCCATTTATATAAATTGGTATGAATGGATTGACCAAATTATACCTATTATCCAATTACGATCCGTCCAAGTCGTCCATTTTGACACCTCTCCTTCAAAGCATTATTCGAGAAATGGAAAATTCACACCGTTCCCTTCTCTATGCACACACCCAAGCGACATATTGCCTCGATATAGTGTGGTTTTTACAATTCTGTATTAATTTGCTTTTTACATTTTTCCGACGGACTGTACTTTTCTGCTTCTCGTCATCGAAGTGTATTTCCTACTCTTTTGGCTGACATATTAATACTTCTAACAAGGAACTGTATTTAATAAGCAAACCTATTAAATTAGTTGTTTTTGGAATGCGAAATAAAACAACTTGAGACTTGGTATTAGAAACCAAATTTGATTTTCTGTGCAATGAAATTTTACTTAAGCAAATTTAGTTAAATTTCAATCAAATTTAGTTGCACAATAAAATCAAATTCGATTAAAACAGGGAATAGAACAAATTGAGACTTTATCTTACAAATTATATTTTTTTGCATATAATATTAAGTCTCAAGTTTTTTTTTAAATCTTCCCCACTATTAGGTTCGGGGTTCCAATCGGCATTTGGGGATGGGAAGTGTATAGGGAGGGGTGCGAGGATACAAAAAAAAAGTCTCAAGTTTTAGTTGACATTGATAGCCTTAATTAGCAATCATAAAAACGCATTCAACTTAATATGGTAGCAATCCATATACGCTGTATTGTTGTACAGTTGCTTGATATACGCTATATGTATAGTGGACTGGAAAACAAGACATTCACAGTCCAATGTTGTTAAACTCGAATCAGATAGCAACTTGGCTAAACTATTGGATTAGGGGTCAATTGGTTGGATTGGTTGAATTGTTTTAAAAAACATGCTGATATTAGCATGATTTTATAATTATTTTATACTTTTATAAGTTTTAGAAATATTGAAATTAAGTTCTTGATTATATTTCGGGAAACTCTACAAAATGTTCTAAAAATATTAGGCTTGTAATCAAATATACACCTAAAAATTATATATAAATATGTGAATTCAAGTAAAAAATATGTCTATTCTCCAAAATTACTTGAAAAATTAAATTGAAATAAATCATACCTAATTCGAGATATTTTTCATTAGAATATGGTTTTCTAATGCAAGTTGGAATCATTGATAATAAATTGATAAGATGATAGGGATAAAAACTTCTTGGTTTAGAGATCGTTTAGGGGTGTGAGTAATTTTGGTGTTCATACTAAATGGTGGCTTTTTTTTAATTACTATTAATAAATGAAAGTTTTATAATTTAGAAAACTCAAATTATGTTTGAGAAAAACAAGAAAGAAAAGTTTGAGAACTGGGTTAAGCAATCGAGTCGAGTCACTGGTTTGATCGATTTTTGATGGTTTTGACTTATTTTTGACAAAAACGATTTTGTGCTACTAAACAGTTCGGGAAGAATGCCGGTTCATGGTCAAACCGGGTCTAGCAATACTGATTCACACCCTTCCCTATTCTAGATTGTGGAATCTATGGCCAGCCAATTGATATATATAATCCATATTACTAGATTTTCGTACGAATATTTTCCACGTTTTGTCATCAAATCTCATTTTAGAAGATCAAATCTCTTCCTGCAAGAATTAAAACGTTTGCATGGAGCTTTTTCTTCTGTTTTTGTTCTTCCTCCTTATGGTTTTCTTCTGTTTTTTCCTATATTCATTTCCATTATCATTCAAACTTAAAGAACCAATCTCCAAACTACAACTCCCTCCGGGGAAAACAGGTTGGCCGATTGTTGGGGAAACCCTTGAGTTTGCTGCCATGGGGAGAAATGGAACACCGGAGAAATTTTTCAAGGACAGAATGAGCAAATACTCACAAGAAGTGTTCAAAACCTCATTACTTTGCGAACAGATTGCTGTTTTTTGTGGACCTGCAGCAAACAAATTTGTGTTCTCAAATGAGAACAAGCTTGTAGCCCTTTCTTGGCCTAGTAGCGCCAAGAAAATCTTCCCATCTTCCAATTCCTCAACAAAACTTCGTGCTGTGGCTTTAACGCTTCTAAAACCTGATAATCTTCACAAATATGTTTCGATTGTCGACTCCATTGCAAAAAGCCACTTAGAAACTCAATGGAATTTTCAGAAAGAAGTTAATGTTTTATCACTTGTGAGGCAATTCGATTTCACTGCAGCATGTCGACTGTTTTTGAGCATTAATGATCCACATCAAATCGAAGATTGTGCCAAGCCATTTGAAGTCATGGCTGCTGGAATTTTTACCCTTCCTATAAATCTACCGGGAAGCTCATATAATCGTGGTATTAAAGCTGCGAATTCAGTAAGACAGAAGCTGTTAGGAATTATAAAGCAAAGGAAGGGTGAGGTGATGGATAAACAACTAGTACATGACGAGGATCTTTTATCACTATTCTTAACCAAGCCAGATGAGAATGGAAAATTCATGAGTGAACCGGAAATTGCTGATCACTTGCTTGCTGCACTTCTTGCCAGCCAGGATTCCACCACTGCATCCATCACTTTTACAATGAAATATCTTGCTGAATTTCCTGATATCTATGATGAAGTCCTCAAAGGTACAAGTGTTTTCTTTTTTTCATTTACATTTTCTTTATCAGATAGAGTATTTGTTACAATTGCAAAAATGAATTGGACTCATCAAATTATTGTTTCAATTTACCAAGAACAAAGAAGCATTGCGCAAGAGAAAATCCCCGGGGAGCCACTGAATTGGAAAGACTTACAGAAGATGAGGTATGCCTGGAATGTGGTCAGCGAAGTACTAAGACTCGTCCCTCCTGTTCAAGGGAACTTCCGGGAGGTCTTAACGGACTTCACATATTCTACTTTCTTCATTCCCAAAGGATGGAAGGTATGGGACCTAATTTTGCATGTTTTAGAAATGTTGATCAATGATTAAGGCAAAGATGAAGCACTAGAACGTGTAAAAAGAACTGGAAGCCATGTAATGCTGCATTAATTATGCAACCTGGTCCTTACTCTCTACTTATATTTTGTGACTCTCAATGCCATCTTCTATCAATCTCTCTCCATTTGTTCTATTAAAAGTATTATGTTTTTTATTTATTTTTATTTTTGCATGTCCCAAAATACTTGTTATCTTAAAAAATCAAGCATGATCACCACCCTTTTTCTAATCTTAGCATTCAACTTTTGAATTTTGCAAGGTAAAATTTGAAAAGATCTATATACACTATCACTATTAAACATACTACTTCTAGGATTTTTTTGAATAAAAAAATTGATAAGTAACAGAACTTTTAGAAATAGAGATGGTCCATTTAGCATGGTTGGATTCAGTGATAGAGCCACATGTAAGCAAAAGGTGGCAATTGCCCCTGCTTAACTTTAGAAAAATTAGTTTTTTAAAAAACTTAAGAAATTTAGAAAATTTTAAAGTTGCATCTTATTTGTCCATACTAAATTTTAATAAATTCTCTTTTCTATCTATATTGACCCCCAGATAATTAAAAAAGTCATAAAAATTTTGGATTTACTTAAAGTTAATTATGGAAGTTATTTCAAGAATAATCTCTTTCTCTGTTTTTGAGTTAAATTAACCCCCAAATAATTAAAAATCCTTGTTACCATCAAAGGATATAAGGATTTTGGAGCTACTTAAAGTGAATTACAGAAATTATTTCAAGAATAATTTCTTTGAAAGTTTTCCACATTCAAATGGAGAAAATAATTGTCACATTTAAATTTAAGCATAATATGAACTTCCAAGCATATTAAATTTAGAAAAACATAAATTTAACATAAATATCCATTTATTTTAGCTATACTATTACTTCATAAATGAAGCTAATCATGTTAAACATCTTAATGTTCAAGTTTGTTTGATTATTTTAACAAGTATGAATTTGTATTCAAGTTTGATTTTTTTTTTTATTTGTCAAGCTGAGGTCAAGCAAGTATTTATTGAGGTGTGCTCAAATAGATTGAATATTTACCTATACATTTCAATTTTATGCCAAACAAGCCAAGTTTGAGTCGAGTTTAAAATTTATCGAACACAAAATAATATTTAAATTTGGTTTGATTAATTCGTGAACTAAACTTGAACGAACACTTATTGAACTCAACTAAATTTGAGTATTAAATAGTTTGGTTGGTCTTTTTGCCTTAACTTTATTTCATGTGCCGTCACGGATTGATCCCTTTATATATCTTAGGGTCTTGACTCCACCACTGGTTGGATTGATTCATGTTTAGTAAATCTAACCCGGATTTCTAATTATTTTTAAAAAACATCTTATTTTCATCCAGATATATTGGACTCCCAATTCAACACACAAGAATCCACAGTATTTCTCTGATCCTGAAAAGTTTGATCCATCAAGATTTGAAGGATCAGGACCTATGCCTCACACATTCGTTCCTTTTGGCGGAGGATCTCGGATATGCCCGGGTAAAGACTTTGCTAGAGTGGTTATACTTGTTTTCATGTACAACGTGATAGGGAAGTTCAGATGGGAAAAGCTCCTTCCTGTTGAGAAAACCGTGGTCCTCCCTATTCCTCTGCCCGCCAAGGGACTCCCTGTTGTCCTCCATCCTCATTGAACATGAACCGCAATATTTATGGCAATAGCCATTGGCCCATTGATGTACTGCACAATTTTTATACAGGAGTTGACACAAAACATCACTTCTAACGCAAATAAGAAGTCCACTACTGAATAAATTATAGTAAAGGTTTTCATCGTTCACAAGAAAAGAGCTGCAACCTTGTCATGTCAAGGGAATTCAACAAGAAAGCAATTTGCTCATTTTACTTACGTATGATGGAGTCTAATGTTTACTAACGCAGCAAGAAAAACGAAAAGTCATGCTATTAGTTGACAAATAAAGTTTGAATCATATGCTCATATATATGACACATAAGCAATGGCTATATACAGTAGTAGAATGTGATTCTATTAATTAGGCAGCAAATATGTTGGACTCGAAAAATTCCCTGTACTTTTTTTTTCAATGGTTCTACACTTCAACTTTGCCGAAAACTCGGTACGAAGGAAAATTATCAACTAAACTAGGATGCAACTTAAGTTTGTGCAATGCTTCTTCCATTGGTATAATGGAAAATATGAATTTGAAGCAAAGAACAAAGTAAGTGTAGAACCATGAGAAAAAGAAGAAGAAGAAGAAGAAGTGTAGTCTATATTCTATATTTGCTTCTACATTTTAATATTGCAGCAAACTTCGTAGAAAGTAAAACTATCAACTAAAATAACGTGCTACTTGAGTTTGTAATTTAAGGAATGAAGTTCCGCTAGCAATCAAGTTAAATTTGTTATTTGAGGTAGACGTTTTGCTTTTTATTTTGAAAATTTTCTTCCTTGTTAGATATTTCGCTTTTGAATTATCATAATGATTAGAGCTCTTGATCGACAAGACTACAAGTTGTCAAGAAAAAAAAAAGAGTAATTACTGTAAGAAAACAGTTTGTAAACGGCCATTGGTCATGTAGTAAGACAATAGCGCAAATTTTATTAATGCATTCTTGATATTTCGACCAGCAAATGCTCTATTTGCATACTGACCAGCGCGACATATACACACAATAATTAGTTCATACACAGTCAAGTTTTACATTTATAAATTCTAAATACCCCACACATGATTTTTTTTGCAAGTATACAAGTCGTGAGTGAGTATAGGGTATTAAGGATTGAATCCACAAGAAAAATTTTCAATTACCGGTGATTTCGAATTCCTTTATTATTTAGATTATCATAGTGGAAGAAATTAACTCTACACTATAAAAGTAATAAAAATAATCCTATAAAGCTCCTAGAGGTATGGAATTCCTTATAACTCTTGCAAATGAGATTACCGATTAAGTGAATGCTATTATCTTGGCTAGTTATAGGGTAATTTCCTTATGTATGTGAAACCCACTCTCATAGTGAATCAACTATACTTGTAACTAAGCCATACCTACTCTTGTGGTCATGAATTAATTACAAGCTCATTTCTTCTATAAAATTACATGAAACAAGTCACTAAAGCCACAAAGATGCTCCTTTACTCTCGTGAGTGAACTTCCTAAGTTTATCACTTCCTTGAACTAGTGTTAAATTCCAATTCTCATTGCACACTTAACACCTTAAAATTATCACAATTAATGACCGATTAATCATTATTAGAAAAGCAAAAGTGGTAAATAACTTGCTCAAAATAATATCATCAAATAACCAAGTAAACTTTACTAACAAGATATAGCAAGTTCATCCATATTCTAAACATAAACTTTAACTGAACATGAAGAAAAACGAATCCCAACTTCTATTATAGTTAAACATGAATTCAAATATAAAAGTGAAAGTGATAGGAGAGAGGTCACCCTTGTCACACGAGTTCCAACTCTGCATCTTTGCTCCTCCAATTTTCATGCAAATCTAACTACAAATACAAGAAAGATAAACTATACTAACTACTCTATACTATCCTAACAAATGAACTAAGGAAATTCTAGTGAATACCATAGTTTTCTCTAGCCTTCCAAAGTTTTTCAAAATGTTCCTCCAAGGCAATTTATAGAGGATTCAAGAACCAAATGAGTTGTTTCTAGTTGTCATTTTTGACTCTTGAAACTCCCATGAGTTGTTTCTCCAACTTTCCACACATTTTTTGATAAGGCACAGCCGAAATTGTTAGCTAAAATTGAGCTAAAAAAGTTATGTGAAAGCAGGCAAGTTGCAAAAAATAGAAGAGAATACGTGACCTCAAGAATACGCGGCTATTGGAGGTCGCGTTTTCACTTCGGCACCATTTTAACTGATATTTTTTTGATGATGGAGGCCGAACTAGCTCTTGTGCAAAACATGAAAACTGTAGTCCTTTGAGTTACTTTCCAATGCCTCAAGAATCATCCAATTTAGAGCTCTGTGAACTGAGATATGACCAAAATACTTTCGAATGGTCAGAGCTCTGTTTCAACTTTCGACAACAGAGTTTCACTTCTGTATTCCGACATTTTGACAATGAAAATGACTGAACTGGATTTCGATGTCTTCATACCAAATGTAGATCTATCTTTTAATTTCAAAATGGTATAAAAATCACTTTAATCCAATCATTTTAGATCAAGATATTGCCAAATGCCACAAGGTGTTAAAGCTGTAAAACTTGTGTTTCTTTAGAACTTAATTGCATTTCATCTCTTGCACTTCATATTCTCTTTTTATTTCTTTAAATCATCATCAATAATCCAATTCTCTTCTTAATTCATGTCATTTGATGATTGAATCATTAAACTCACAAAAACATGAAGTTTTCACTATTAAAATCCATAGAAATGCAATTTTTACCACTTTAACCACAAAATATATATTTTCACTAGAATCTTAGTCAATTAGTTATAAAAGTGACTAAAACACACCAAAACTAACTGATAAAACACACTAAAAACATGTAAAAAATACACTTATCACATACATATTAATATGTCAATTAGCTAGTCTGATAGGTGGAAAAATCTATATCTTTAGCTCCATAAGTTTGGCAATAGTTCAACTAATCCCTACATCATGGTTTGAAATTAACAATTGTATGAGCCCCTTTTTCATGTCAAGTTCGTTGTACTGCAATGAAAAGAATTAAAATCTATAGTATAGCTTTTAATTGCGTGCTTGAGAATATTCCAACTAGCTGGTTTGGCTAACCGGAGATTTATAGCTTTGGCTCCAATGTAATGGTTTAGGGTAGTGATTAAATGTAAACCATACAATAAATAATTGTGTGCGCCCCTTTTGCATGCCATGTATATGTACTGCATTAAAACGAAATAAGCCAGTACCATAGTTTTATAGCTTTAGCCCCACAGGCATGCACTAATTCACCAATTAATCCCTACTTTATTATTTCAAATAAGTTCATGGTAAAACTAGGGGTGGGCAAAAATACCGCAAACCTGAAAATGCGATATATCCTGTTAAGAGAATATAAGTATTCTTGTAGATAATAAATTAGTAAGGGTATTCTTGTAAATAGTTTATTAGGTTTGTACTCCTATAAATACTAATTGGTCACTCATAATACAGTGACTAGATATTTTCCTCCCAAGATACCTGTTAACATGGTATCAGAGCAAAAGTCCTAGGGTTAGGGTTAAACATCTAGCAAAAGTCTTGACGCGATACTGTTCATCGCGCACTGTTCACGCGATACTATTCACGCGTACTGTTCACGCGGTACTGTTCATCGCGCGTACTGTTCATCACGCACTGTTCACCCGGTACTATTCACGCGCACTGTTCACGCGCATTGTTCATAGCGAATTTTGATTGCTGTTTTGTTTGAAGTGCTATTCACTATGGTTGAAAGTTTTGCTAATGGGGTTACCATTGATCAAATTGAATCAAGTTCTTCAGTACATGGGTCCCAGAAAACTGTTACTATATCCGAGGAAGATTATGTTAAATTCTTACAGTACCAAGCTACAAGTCATGCATCTCTTCCCTCTGCTTCTTTAGCACAAAAAGGTAATGACTCATGGATTATTGACTCCGGGGCTACTGATCATATGTCAGGCTCCTCTAAATTTTTTTCTAATTTTCAAGAGTCTACTCCCTTTCCTCATGTTACTTTAGCTGATGGATCTACTACTAAAGTTAAAGGACTAGGCACTGTAGAAATTAATCCATCACTTCCGCTGTCTTCTATTCTTTACGTACCCAATTTGCCATTTAATCTAATGTCTGTTAGTAAGCTCACTAAATTTCTACAGTGTACAGTTATTTTTTCTCCTGATTCCGTTGTCATTTAGGATTTGAAGACAAAGAGGATGATTTGTGGAGGGCATGAGTATAATGTTTCTTCTCTTGAAATTCACTGTCGTTTAGGTCATCCGTCTTTACAAAATTTGAAAAAGTTGGTTCCTACTTTGAATCAATTATCTTCGTTAGAATGTGAGTCTTGTCAGTTAGGAAAGCATCATCGTGTTTCTTTTGCTCCTAAAGTCAATAAACGGGTTTCTGAACCCTTTTTGTTAGTTCATTCTGATGTTTGGGGTCCTAGTCGAGTCACTTCAAAGTTAGGTTTTAAATATTTTGTAGTCTTTGTTGATGATTTTTCAGAGTTACATGGCTTTATTTAATGAAAGATCGTTCAGAATTATATTCCATTTTTTGTGCATTTGTTACAGAAATAAAGAATCAATTTGGTGTGCCTGTACGTATACTTCGCAGTGATAATGCAAAAGAATATTTTTTCACTCTTTTTAATACCTTTATGACTAAGTCTGGTATTATTCATCAGTTCTCTTGTCCTCACACTTCACAACAGAATGGAGTTGCTGAAAGGAAAATTGGAAATTTAATCGAAATTGCTCGAACACTGTTGTTGCACATGAATGTGCCCAAACAATTTTGGAGTGATGCAGTTCTAACTGCATGTTATTTAATTAATCGCATGCCATCTAATATTCTTGAAGGTCAATTACCTCACTTCATTCTTTTTCCTCATGAAAACTTTGTTTAAATTGCCTCATCGTATTTTTGGATGTGTGTGCTTTGTTCATCAGCTTGTTCCCGGGGTGGATAAATTAGATTCTCGTGCTATTAAGTGTATTTTCTTAGGATATGCACGAGCGCAAAAGGGTATAGATGTTACAGTTCAGTTTCAAATCGATTTTTTACTTGTGCTGATGTT